CAACTGCACCAAGGGAACCTGGAGTAAACTGTGTAACTTTCAATACATTGAGCTCAATAGGAGGGTAGGTGTTCTTTGCTTTAAGATAGAGGGCCGGAGAGATGGCTCAAAGGACTTACTGCTCTTGCAGAGAACCTGGGTTCAGTTCCCGGCACTCACTGGATGGCTTTCAACCATCTGTAACTCCAGGTCCAGGGTTCTAACGCCCTCTTCTGGCCTCCACAGGCATTGTACACTCATGGTGCATAGACATATATGCAGCAAAACGCTCATAATAAAATAAAATAAAAAAAGAAACTTATAAAAATTTAAGACAACTGGAGATATATATTTAAAAAAATCCTAAATTTCCAAGGTAGTACATTTAAAGATGGTGGTTAACTTTACAAAAGAGTAATCAAGTAGGAATTGACCTCAGTAAGCAGCTTTACAGCAACACACCTCTCTTCTCTTCCACCCTTGGGACTGGAAAGGCCGTGCCTGCTTACATCCTCTCCTACTTACATGAACTCTGAGCATTAATTCTGGTCAAAACCTGGAGAGATGTTAGGAACAGGCTTTCATGGCTTCCTTTAGAAACTTTTCCTTTTGTTCAACTGTGAGTACTCTTAGTTCCTTTCCACGGCAGATAAGAAAGTCGTATTCTTGAAGTTTTACATGACAACTGTTTCTTCTAGTTTTGGGAGAGTGGCCAACTTGCTCTGGTAGCACAGGCAGATAACTTAGTTCTGGACTTAGTTTGGGGGCCAATCTGTATAGATACTAAGCTTTTTGCACCTCTTCCTCCCTGGTAGAGAAGACCATTCCTGTCCTGCACTTTCCTGTCTCATTTGAATAGTGTCTTGGGTTCCGGGCTGGAGCTGAGGCTACTTTTAGCTTTATCTGGACTTATGTCTCTTCCTCAATGTCAGAAGATCATTGGAAAGCTGACAACCTTCTCAAAATAGTAACCAAGAGAAAGCCTGTGGGATTTCTCCCCCGAGAGATTTCTAATAGAAGTTTCTAAAATCCACTCGCCACTGTTCACTTGTTTAAAACTATCACCCCCAAGTGTCTCAAGTGTTCAGCACAGGGTTTGTGTAGAAGCTGTAGATAATGTTGAACTTGTGGCCCATGGGATACACGTGTCCTGAGAAAACTATGAATGCGGCCCAACACAAAATTTTATGGCATTATGAGATATCAAGATTTTATTTCTATTTCTATTATTGTTATTATTATTTTGTAACTCAATTATGCAGTTTTTAAGTATGAACTTTGTAGACAACAATATCATGCTACAATGTCATGCCTGTGGGAGAACATGGACATGGAATAGGCTGCTGACTATCACTGCAGTGCTGCAGATGTATGGACCACACAGCCCACTCCAGCTCCACCCAGGCAGATGCTTCAGTGCAGCTGCCAAAGCGGAGTTCCAGGCCATGGAATGTGCTGACCTTCCTTCCCCGGGAAGATGGCACCATGAGGAATGGTATTATTAGCAGGACAGCATTTGTGCTGATCTGTCAACACTCCCTCATTCAGACCAGATCGGGCACATTCAGGATGGTACAGCCGTGGACAATACTCCCTCTCTCAGGGTCTTTACGGAACAATGACAAACCTGCAGAATCACACAGCTGACCCATTTTTGAATTCTCTTCTTTTGGCTACGGTCACCCCATGCTTGCCGAATTTGCTTCTTGGGTTTCTGGCCACTCTGATTCCTTTGCTGGTGCTTTTTTTTTTTCCTCCATTGTTTTTATATTTTATTTTAAGCTAGGATCTTACTATGTGGCTCAGGGTGGTTGGGGACATGCTGCCTTCTTTCTCTAGGCTCCCCAGTACTGGGATTTATAGGTCCTCCTTCCACATCCAGCCCTTCTGCCTTTAAATAGACAACCCCTCAAAGCTTAATCCCAGACTTAAAAAAAATCTCTTCCTCTTTCTTCCCTCTTTTTTCCTCTCTTGTTCTCCTTTCCTACTTTTATTTATTCTCCTCTTTTCAGTTACCAAGTAGTTGGCAAAATCAATCTTCGGTTTTTGTCTTTTTAGACATGTCTCTGTCTAGCCTGGAGCTCAGAGAGATCTGCCTGCCACTCGCTCTGGAGTGCTGGGATTAATGGTGTGCTGCCACACCTGGCCTTAAGTTTCCATTCCAAGCCCGTCCTTGTCTTCAAACTCTCAACAATATGTTCAACTCCCTGCTCCAACTCTGTGCTCAAGACAGAGCGGACCCTCTTCTACAGGCTGGCCACACATTTCTGCTTTGGTATGCCTCTCCTTTCACTGCATGTTAATTCCTTCATTTAGACATTTAGGATATTTATTTGGATGAGGCAATTCCTGTCACTTATTTATTGTTCTCTCAAGTTTCCACCTAAGCCTAGTCCTCCTTGTCTCTCTTCGGCTGGCTGTACCAGCCACTAACCAACCTTGGCAAACACTCTTGCATCTCTCAGCATTACTGCAAATTCTTTCCTGGCCTTCTCTCCTCCCTCACCTTCTTCCCGATGATGTACATTTCCATGCATATATTCTTATTTTAAAAGCTCTTTTCATCTCTCTGGACATACTTATAGTTTTGTACGAGATGGCAGTGGTCCCATGTGCCTTTTCCTCCGAGTGATGAGCATCATTAGATACTCACACACAATATCAGAGCCATCACGATCTTAGACCCTTTACTGCTGTTGTTGTCTCATAGGCTTGTATGTGCGTGCACATCTGTGAATGTTTGATGAGTACCTCTGTGTAGTTCTGTGTTGTCTTATCACACGGGCAACTGCCAGCATTCAAAGCTATGCCCTCAGCCTCAAGATCCTCTAGGCCTAAGAATGCTTCTTAAAAAGCAGCCACTCTGCTTGAAAGCCCTCATGACATTGTAGGTCCAAATGCTGGCTTAAATAAAGGTCTGTAAGTGCCTATTTAGTCTCCGGTGGCCTCCCGCCCCCTCATTTTACAAGGGAGCTTGCACTCGTGGTCACTGGTCTTTCTCTTCCTTCTAGTTAGCCGAGCTCCTTGTTGCTCAGAGCCTGCACACACTGGTCCTTTCACCAGTCGCCCTGTCTCCTTCCCACCCAGTTAGCTCTCCCAGGAAGCTTCTCTTGACCTCTCTGGCTAGGAGTCCCCCAGAGTTTCCATTGGTTTTCGCTGCCAGCTCAGCTTTTGCTCTCTGGTGTTAGTCACCCAATAGTGATTAAGTAGATGCACATGGGGTTTAGTCATTGGAAGTCTCTTTAGAGGGCTTAGGGTGTTGTGCTCACATAGTATCTTTTCTATCTAGCGTAACAGCCAGCTTAGCAGCTGCTCATCAAACAGTTGCTGAGTTCATGAGCCCTAGTGTAAGCTGGCTGTCTATGGCTGAGGTCTGGCCTGAGGCCAGGCAACTGAACAAAACCACCTTGCCTAGGTGCTGCTTGCCCTGTGGTCTCTTCTCTATCCTTTCCAACAAGGTTCTGTCTGAGAACGGGGGCACTGGTAGTTTCTACCAGTGAGTCCACAGCTGAAAACGTCCCCCCTATTCCCATTCTGTTTTCACTCTGGGAGGTTAGCATAGGGAACAGCGGGGCTTATATTCTCCTCAGATAGTACTTTAAGATGTTTTCCAGAAAAATCAATGGGATATCTGTGTGGGGTTTTAATGTAAGGCTTCTTTCTGCCCTCTCCTTTTCGCCCTGTCCTCCCACCACTGGTCATTTCTACTCCAACGCTGACATTCTCACAAAACTCAGTGTGGTTTATAGCTAGGGAGTCCCAAATCTGGTAGGTCCTTATGCTGATGGACTACCCAGTATTTCACCCAAATGAGCATGGTCTGATGGGCTTTCTGAAGATTCAAAAGGGAAGCATGGGCTTTCTGCTGGTATGCGGCCCTGCTGAGGGCTAGGGACGGCACCTGGAAATCTGGTTGTGACCACGCTTGGTAACATATGGTAACTGTTTATGGTGGCCCCTATTTATGGTATCCTTTAAAGGACAAGGTCCCTCATGTGAAAGGGGCAGCGCAATGCTCTGTGCGGTGGGAGCTCTGAAGAAGGATGGGGGCTACGCTGCCGATTCTTCACAGCAGTGAGCAGTGGGTGTTATCCACCCAGCTCAGAGCCCTGGGAAACCTGAGGACACCATCCAAGTCTCTCTTTCCTGACAACTAGAAGACCAAGGGCCTGCACTTTTAGCAGCTCCAAGCTGTCTACTCACTGCTGGCGTTGTTCCTCAGACTCAACGGGGGCTGATGGCATCCTGCTCGGTGGGTCTCAAGTGTCAGGCATTCCTTCTGTGGTCACTGCTGAAAGCCCCCTTCCCGATCTGGCTATCGGTTTAGCCAACATGACACTTGATATGGAGAACAGAGCTAGAACAAGAGATGGATTCTTTGAGGACAGATCTTGTCATTTGCTGGGACAGTCACTCCCTTGCCTTCCCTGTCAGACCCCTTTCTTCTTGTGTCCCTGTGACTGTTCAGGGTTTGGGCTTTTTCTGTTCATCTCTTGGCTGTGAGCCTGGATACTTAAGGCAATCACAAAATACCACCTATGATATTATCCCCCAAGTGCTATCCCTTGGGGGGATCTTGTGCGATCCTCTGACATGCTCAGGCAGTCCCAGCTCCAAGCAGCTCTGATAAGTTGTCCTGTTCCAGCTTCAGCTGGGCTTGGGAGCTAATGACAATGCCTCCTGCCAGGCTGCCTTGAGCTGTGTCCATCACAACACCCTCTTTAGTGCCGATCACAGCTTTCTGCTCTACTTGTCACAGCTATGGGGACATAGCTCTTAGGGTAAGAGGACCCAGATAGTACTTAATAAGAGGGTGAACGCCATCTCTCCATTTGGCCTCTGTCTGTCATAACTGGAGGTGGTCGTGGTAGTGGCTGTGAGCAGAGCCCTATTCAGACTCCTGGTCTGTTTCTCAGCTTGAGCTACCCCCCCCCCATACATATCCCTCCAAGATGTGTCTTGAATTAGGGATGTTAAGGGGACGGGTCTTGTCCTAACACTGTTGCTCTGGCTTCTTTCAGGTCACCCAACTTGCCTGCAGTTCACTCTGAATATGACCGAGGCAGTCAAGACCTACAAATGGCAGTGCATAGAATGCAAATCCTGCATCCTGTGTGGGACCTCAGAGAATGATGTGAGTTTGGCCAGCCCTTGCGGCAGGAAGGGAGTGAAGGGGCTGCGGGTCTTTTGAGAGGTGGAGGAGAAACAGAACTCTGGGCACTGGGTTCCTGGGGAAAATGGCAGTCTTTTTGCCTTGGGGCTCTTGTGCCTCCAGAGAAAGATGCCAGAGGCGGCTAGGAAGGGATGCCTTTTGGCATTCTCCTTAGCAGCCTGGCCACATACTCTCAGAATTCAGTGACCAGTACTTTGGGTGGGATCTGATTGGCTGTTTTCACCACATTCTACTGCATGATCTCACTTGAATGATGGTAACTGCAAGAAATGCAGAACGCTCAGCAACTTTTTTTTGTTGTTATGGATGGTTTCAAACACGTACAAACGTTGAGAGAATAATGAAGCCGATGCACTCTCTTTCAGCTTCAACAATGGTCGTCATGTCCAATTTTATTTCTAAGTGCTATTATCTTATCCTTTATGAGTGTATTCATGTAGGTGTTACACGTGTTTACGCTTGTGGAGTTTCCATATCAGCCGTCTTCCTCCATCACTCCCTACCTTGATTTTTGCTACTGATAACTCACTGACCCAAAAACTCATCAGAGATTGGCTAGCCAGTTTATCTCCAGCCCTGACTTCCTCTTCCCAAAACTGGGGTGTCAGCTGTGTGCTGCCGCACCTCACCTTTACATAAGTGCTGGGGCCCTGAACTCAGGTCTTCATGCTAATGCTGTACACACTTCACCAACCGAGACATCTTCCCAGCCGCTCCTTTTGCAGATCCGTAGGAGGGTCCAGAAGCCAGAGCTTCATGATTAGCAACATGATGTCACAGGTGGAAAATTCTACAGCACGAAACTTTATTTCATGCATAAAATTATTTTAAAATATTGCATAAGATTGCCTTTAAGAAAAGTGTGCAGGGCATGTATAAAACACACGGATTTTTGTCTTTCTTCTTGGGTTTCAGCTCAAAGAAGCCTCATTATACACACACGGATCAGAAACACTTCAGTTTCAGGCACTTCAAATGCAGGATATTTAAACTGTAGGAAGACACTATTTTCATGTGATACGGCTGTCTGTCTGGGAAACCGTAGAGACTCAATGATAGGGTTAACTCGAATTTACGAAGTGCAAACTAAGGGCTGGAGAAACAGCTCAGTGGTTAAGAGCATTCACTGCTCTTGCAGAGGACCTGAGTTCTGTTTCCAGCCCCTATACCAGGACACTCACCCTTGCCTGTAACTCCAGGTCCAAAGGATCAGACACCTCTGGTCTCTGCCAACACCTGCACTCATGTGCGTAGACCCACACACAGACAGCCAGACAGCCAGACAGCCAGACAGCCAGACAGCCAGACAGCCAGACAAATAGACAGACACACAGTGAAAGACAAATCTTAGGAAAGTAAAAACTAACCAGTTAGTAAACATTACTGTACTTACAGTGCAACAAGAAGACACATTTAGGAATGCACTTAGCAGAAAATGTGCAAAGTATATATGAAGAAAAATAATTAAATACCTTAGAAACCACAAAGCTCAGGTGGAATGATGGCCTGTGATACTGGATAAGATGACACAACACTACAGAGGCATGAGTTATGTGCATGTTAATTTGCAAGCGGACACCAGGAGCAACAATCTCAACAAGCTTTCTTTGTGGAGTTAGGCAAGCTGATACTTCCGTTTCTATGACGGGGGAAAAAGGTGAGTCTGGATAGCAGAGGCAGGGCCAAGACTGCATTTCTATTGTAGAGTGCTTTATAGTGTGCTCAAGGCCCGGAGTTCGATCCTCAGTACAGTAGAAACCAGGCAGAGTAGTGCACACCTGCGATCCCCAGCGTTTGGGAGGTAGAGGAAGGGGCATCAGATGTTCAACATCATCCGTCATTACATAGTGAGCTTTGGGCTAGCCTAGGCTATCTAAAAACCGTGACTCCAAAAAGAAAGTAGCCAAGGAAATGCTGACAGACTGTGCTGAAAGCAGAAACTAGCAGGCATTGGATCTCTTGGGGAGTCCCCGGAGTAGAACAGTGTGGAAGTGACATGTGAGTGGACAAGCAGGCCAGCTGGGAGAGAAGAGAGAGCCTGTGAATAGACCCACCTACATAGGGGAACATAGTAGAGGATAAAGGTTGCATCTAAAATTACTGTGTCAAAGATAGACGTTTTAATGAATGATGCTGGGACGGTAGGGGAGCCGTTTGGGAAAAGGCAAAATTAGCTTCATATCTCACACCAGACATAAGAACAAACTCCGAACAGGGTGGGAATTTAAATGTTAAAAAAAAAAATAAGAGCAGATCAGTCAGTACCAGATTCCTCTTTTATTTAAACATCAGAAAAGGTTTCCAGTGACTCACAATAGAGTTGCAATAAAATTAAATACTGAACAATTGGACTCCACGAAAACCTGAGTGGCCAAAACCTCGATACAAAGGGTGGCTGATGAGCTGGGAGAATGTATCTGTGTCGAGTGCAGGTGAAGGTCCAGTGGCATAAAGAGCTCTGATGAATGAGAGACAGAGAAACAGGAACTTGATCAACAAAGAGAAACACACATGAAAGATGATTTATAAACAATAGAAAAATGTGTCCTAAGCACTGAAGTAAATACTTAAACACACTCACAACTAAAGAAACTCAAAAAACAAAATCAAGATCCCATTTCTTGCCTTCCTGATGAGAAAAAAAATTCAAATATAAAAATATATGAAGCTATGGGGAAATCAGTTCCTATCTTTAGTATTGGAGGGCATGCTCCAAATCCTCCAAATTGGTGTGGCTATTCTGGGGTGAGGGAGCTGGTGATCGCTAACAAAACCACTACACACTTCACTTTTGATGACACCGTCCCATCTGTGGGAATTTATCCTGAAGGGTACATTCCACTACAGAAATATACATGCACTGATGTGATTTATTAATTAAAAATACCGGAAATAACCCCAACATACATGCATAGAAAAATGATCGACTAGGCATTGGCGCAGCATGCGGCTGCAGAAAGGCGAGGAGGATGTCTGTGACTGGCTGCGTAATGATTTCCCTGATAAGTGGACAAAAATCTGTGGGTGGTAGGCGGTGTTTACTGTAAGGAGAGGGGCCATATAAGGAAATACACGTGCATCTGTGAACTTATATAAAGGAATAAGCAAGGAGGTGATGAGAGTGGTTATCTTCAGGAGTGGATGAAAATGGGGAGGAGAAAGACGGTGATATGGGAATGAGTGGGGCTTAGCCAACATAGCCTTGGGAATATTCATTTTAGATAGCTGGGATCAAGAGAAAGTTTCATAGACTGATATACATATTTAATGTTAACCAGGAGCTAGAAGAGCTAGAGTGGAATAAACAGTAACCAGTGAATCTAACTATACAACAAGCAGATAGCCTAACCAGACTGGGGAGCGGGGAGCCTAAGTTGTTTTGGAAAATGATGTTTTGACTGTGTGCCGCAAGACTAAAGGCGGACACAGCTGCATCGCAAATGCTGTGCCCTCGCTAAGACATTTATTTTCATGAGAATACAAATTAGTAATTCTGTAATGGCTTTATATGTGTGGTGTCTAAATGAATAACTAAATATTGTGACAAAGAGTCATAGTTCTAAAAGCCAGAGTAAGAACCATAAAACAGGAGGGGATGTGCCTGAACCCTGTGGCTTTAGACTGGCGTGTGAGCATGTGTGTGTACTCATGGTTTTTAATATAGGAAGTATCTTTATGTTTATTCATATATGAATGATATAGACCTCATTATGGATATATGCATATGTACCTATGCATTTATTTATTTCCTAGTTCTCTTGGCCTCTCATTACTACAGCAATGTGCCTGAGACAATTAGTTTACGAAGAGAAAGGAATTATTTAACTCATTGTTTTGGAGCTTATGAAGGTTTCAGTCCAAGATCAAGTGGCCCATTTTCATCAGGGTTTCAGTGAGGATACTTAACAGGAAATATATGTAACAATAAAAGTGCTCATATAACAAAACAGAGAGGAAGAGAGAGGGAGAGGGAAAGGGAGACAGAGAGTGTGAATGAGAGTAGATGTCATGGTCCCACAGTCCTTTTCAAAGCCCTGCTACTAGGCCCACCTCCTGGAGGCCTCTGACACTTCCCCAGTACCATTGCTCTGAGTACCAAGTTTACATAGACATTTGAGGAACATTACCCATCTTCAAACCTAGCAAGAACCTAGAAGCAACAAGGACACCCAACCCAGAGACTGGTTCTAAGTAGTATTCCCTAGTAAAAAGAACCAGAGATCCTTGAGACACACCTGGGGCCAGGGCTGGGGTTCCAACTACACAGGACATGCCTGGAAGATCTTGTGATGTGAGAAAACAGGGCTGTGTTTAAAAAAAAAAAAAAAAAAAAAAAAAACAGTCACAAAGTGTGTCTAAAGGACCAAAGAACCAACCCAAAGGAACACTTAGCAGCACCTGAGGAAGGAAATAGTGATACTGTTGTCTTGCAGCATGAAGAATAACACAGATATCATTTCTAATGAAGTTGAAAGAAGGGATGAAGGAAGGGATGGAGGGAGGAAAGAAGAAAGGGAGGGAGGGAGGGAGGAATAAGAAGACAGTATGTACTTTCTTAGAGTAGAATTCCAATGAATAAATACAGAAGGAGAAATCATAAGCAAGGCCCACAGTTAGGCAAGAACCATTTTAAGTTATTTTAAAAAATGTAGTGAGTGAAAATACATAAAATAGGATATTTGCATGAACCCAAAATACATCCCCAATTACATATTACCATATTAAGTAACTTCACTGACAGTCACCTCCTTAGTGACATGATGATATTACGGGTAACCAGACATGTGAGCTCCAGTGGTACCGTGAAGTAACACGGTGAGGGCAGAGTGTAACTTCAGTGGTATTCCTGCCCCCAAAATGCTTGCATATCTTAGTCCTCATATGGGAAAACATCCAGCCCAAACGTCCAGTGATGTTTATAAAATCCCCCAAACCACACTCTTCAAAAGTGTCAAGTTCCT